TTAATCTATATTCTTTTTCCCATTTAATTAGTACATGAGCACCGTCTAAATGTATCGAAAGGTACAACCATTTTCATTTTTCATTTTACTTTTTCATAATTTTTTTCTTTTTATGTGCACGGGTACATTGCTTCCTAGCCAGTACCATACGGGGGTAAACTCCTATAAGTTTGCATGCATATCATTTTCCATTTTTCATTTATCTTTCATTCATTTCATGTCATTTATTCATATGTATACTTTTAAATACATATCAGTAACATATATAGGTGTAACTACTTTAAACTTTATCTTTCTAGTTATGTTAACCTTCTTTTATATTTTCATGATATCTCTATATACTTTATCAGAATAATATATGTACATTATTTTATACATTTGAAGTTTACATAACTTTATTCATAATAGCCTCAAAATAAACAAATCAATATTTCTTTCAATATGAAAATAGAAATAAATAATGAAATTTCAAATAACTATAATTACTCACTTTATTTTCTTCTTCCAATATTCGTCTAGTTTTGAAAGTCATTAATTTTTTACAAGAATAGAACAATTTAATTAATATTAAATATCAATTAAATAAATCAATAGGCATTTGATTTTTTATACAAACCTTACTTTACAAGATTTCATTTCTTTTCTCACAAATCTTCCTTCCTCCACCGCCAACCAAGATCAATATCACTTGGATTCTTTCAATCTAATTTAAAATATATTTCTCATTATTTATCAATAAAAGAACAAGAATTGAAACATACTCTTAAACTGATCACTTACCTTTCCTTAAGATGGAATTTTTAAAGTCTAATTCCTTCTTTTTCCTTCTCTTATAATTTCCTTCCCCTTGCCTTCAATTCCTTACTTTTCCTTTATGAAAAATATCTCTAATTTTAGATGAAATATAACAAGATAATTTATACGAAAATGAAAAAAAAAAAATAACAAACCTCCTTCCTTCTTCCTCTCGGTCATTCTTCTCGTTTACCATCATTTCCTCCCAAATCTCCACTTCTTTAGCAATAAGGAGTTGAATATTCTTATCCCTAAACACAATCAATTACTAAAATGGAAAAAGGAAAACAACCAATCCTCCAACGCAAGCGTTCGGCCGTCCGCTCTATTTCGTTCGCAAATACCGACCCCCTCCTGGGGTCGCGACTTTTATTTGGCGGTTCACCCAACCAGTTCATTACAGATATATTCCTTTGATCTCTTAGGATAGAGCTAACCTTATCATGCATCACATCTAGGACTATTATGTATGTAATAGGTTGTTAGCTGGCAGTTATTCCAAGCAGGCATAAGCTCAGAAGTATTTGCACAACTCAACTCTATGATAAGAATAATATTATGTATTTAAATAAATTTTTTACAAAAACTTAAAAAAAAATAATTGTGAGAGAAAAATTAGTCAAATATATAAGGCAACTTTCTTATATGTTAAAATAAAAATGAGTCTAATCACCACTTTTATCAAAAATTTTGTTCATATATTTAATTGACTGTAGGGGCTTGCCTATATAAAAATCCAAGATCCTAATATAAACTAAATCCTATCTTAGTTCGCTAAGAGAGTGAAAAAATCTCTAGACGTCAACTAAATCCTATCAAAGAAGAATTAAATTTCTATTTGTTATTGCAAATGAACTCCCTAAAATAAGTTTCAAAAATAAGAAGAAACGAAGAAAAACATGATGAAAAATCAAATGCTATAAGAAGAAAAAGAAAGGAGGGGGGCAAAGCATCATAAAGTAGATGTAAAGAATGTTAATACATTTTGTATTCTAATTAAACCTTAATTATATTCTCTTTTGGTCTTTAACAAACCAACTTACTAAATTCATGTAACTTAAACATTAAACTCCTATAGGATATACCAAAGCCACATAACATCTTTCACACACTTAGATGGTTTGCTAGAATAATCAATTTTAGCCTAGGCTAAGCTGGTAGTGTGAATTGCTTGTCGGGTGCTTTGCTTGGAGAGCGCCCTATGTCTGTTTATTTATTTTCATGCAATCTGGATTTTATGCATTTTATATCTATGTTGGCGCACTTAGGTTCTTGAAGGATTGCATTAGGATATTATACAATTGCTCATGCACTTTATATACTTTTTGTATATGTATTTACATTCATACAAGAGTCAAAGTAGAATATACCTAGGAGCTATTATAGTATGTATAAGTGTCTATAAATCATAGTTTGTATATAGATCGAGTTATACTATGTCAAGAGTTGTAAAAGAATCATATACACTTGCTTATATATACAAATGGGGCTCCAAAAGATGATATCATTTCCCTTGGAGTACATTCTCTTTTGGAATTCAATAGAAGACCTCGAGCTCGAAGACCTTAAGCAAATGTGTTTGGTTCTATACATATAATAGGCTTAAAAACCGAGGTTTATTGTGATAAAGACTGGCCACCTTATTTTCCTACAGAGTTTGAGTGTGATGTAAATATTTAAATCCATTAGTGAATAAAATTTTCTTTTATTTATACAGTTCTCTTCTTTGCATCATTACATATATTACATGCATGTGGGTAGTAGTTTCAATTAGCAGGTACTAGTTTTTCTTAAATTTTTCTCGATGTACATGCTCCAGACTGTAGGAACCTATATACTTGTTCTATAGTTCTATGATGATATAACTTTAGGTACTATAGACACCAACCCTTTTACCTCTTCATATATATATATATATATCAATTCTACTATGTACATAGAGCCTAGGTGTATGCCTCTCATTGGTAAGGTAGCGGGATCCTCATTATGCATGAGCTTGGGTAGATTTACGTGGGAGGGGGGGCCCAAAATTTTTTTTTCCTTACTAGTTATAGCCCTCTCTCTCTCTCTCTCTCTCTCTCTCTCTCATATGAGTAGGGTGAGATGATTTTAAATCCCATTTTGGTATTTACTTTTTTATTTCATCAAAATTTTTAATTATTTTAAATATTCTTGTATAGAAAAGTTATGAAATGAAAACCAACAAATTATACTAGAGAAATATTATAATATTTAAATTTAAATCAAGTAGCTTAAACTATGCAAATTATACATTTTTATATTTTTCATTAATAAGATGTAGTTTGTTTATATATTTATTACTCGTTATAAAATGTTTTGTTAATTATTTTTTATTTAAATTACATATGAAAACCTTAAGTTATATATTTTTTAAAAAAATTAAAAGTCTAATTTCAATTTCAAGTTCAAATGAAAAAGTTCGACACTTTTTCTGTTGGGATAAGGTCGTTATGCTGCCAAAACTTATTAAAACTTAATTAAAACTTATTGAAATTTTGATAGTTAGAAAACTCAGCTAGGTAGTCTACATAAGATAAAATTTAGAGTTTTTAGTAAGTCACTTCATTAACGTCACTTAAACCTAAAGTCAAATTACTCATTTCGAGTCATTTATTTAAAGTTTGATATATTTCTTTGATCTCTTAGGACAGAGCTAACCTTATCATGCATCACATCTAGGACGATTATGTGTGTAATTAATAGGTTGTTAGCTGGCAACTTATTCCAAGCAAGCATAAGCTTAGAAGTATTTGCACAACTCAACTCTATGATAAGAATAATATTATGTATTTAAATATATTTTCTAAAAAACTCAAAAAATAATTTTGAGAGAACGATTGACATTTTCAAATATATAAGGTTAAAATAAAAATGAGTCTAATCTCCACTTGAATAAAAAAATTTCTCTTCAAAGATTTAATTAATTGTAGTGGCTTGCCTATATAAAAACCCAAGATCTCAATATGAAATAAACCCTATCTTAGTTCTCTAAGAGAGTGGAAAAATCTTTGTACGTCGACTAAAGCCTATCAAGAGGGGAATTAAATTTCTAGTTGCTATTGCACATGAACTCCCTAAAATAAGTCTCAAAGATGACAAGAAATAAAGGAAAACATGATGAAACATCAAAAGCTATAAGAAGAAAAAGAAAGGATAGGGGCAAAGCATCATAAAGTAGATGATGTAAAGAATGTTAACACGTTTTGGATTCTAATTTGCTACTTTGATTTAAATTATTTCACAAAAAATACAACTTAAATATTCTTAAACTATCAATTCCTAAATCCTTTTGTAGACTCACATGATAAAAACTATTAAATTCTGATTATCATGCAAGGACCATCAGTCTGCAAGCATGTCTACTTAAAAAGTTCTCTACATCACTCAAATAATATATATGTATAGCATTCTAAGAATAAAAAAGTCATCAAGAAGAGCTTCCATTCATGTTTAAGAAGAGAAATCGTAATCATCCCGTTGGTTTTGGATCAAGATTATTAAGAAACTTTCTATTCAATTAGATAAAAACTAACTAGATTTGACACAGTAAGAATATTTCTTTCATGTATTTTCACAAAAGTTTGACCTTATTGATGAGCAAACAAAACATAGTTCTAAACTAGAAATAACAGAGTAACCAAATCAACATATTGTACTATAATGGTTGTGGCACTTAATCTAGGGGGATTTCAAGGGGTTGGTGCTCCCTAACAGGCAGATAGAGGAATTCTAGCAAAGTAATAATAATACTAATACTATTATTATTATTATTATTATTAGCAGCAGCAAAAAATAAAATTCGTGCAGCTCAAACAAAATGTTTTAACTCAAATGACCTGAGGCTTTGTTTGGGGCGGCTTTTTTCCTGCTTCTTAAAGCATCTTTCAAGTTAAAATTTGTTACTGGAAAGTTGTTTTAAGAAGCATTAAAAAAGCCGTCCCAAATGAAGCCCGAGTCTTTGCAAACAAAACTAAAAATTAAAATCATAGTAAACTCACACATTAATTTAAGCTTCAATCAGTTACATAAGGCTTGCATTGGAACAAACTGACTTAAAAGGACCACAGCCAACCCAAACAAGGAAAAAAATGTTAGCTTTGAGCCAAAAGCAGATCGAAAGGTTTGCAGAAAAGACATCATTAGCCTAACAAAACAGATTCATTCAGAAAATTACAGGCCAAAAATTACGTCCAGAAGACAATGAAAACTCTCATATTATTATATGATAAATTGATAATTATTCCGAAGATTCGACAAACAACTTACTTGATACATCTGAAAGTCATATAATGAGGATAAAGATTATTACGCTGCTGCAAAATAGCAAGACAAGCCAAGCAGAACTCGTTCTACAAAATTTGTCAGAATCATGCATTCTACAAACAAAAATGAGCATGTTTATGAATAACTTACTCGTTGCTATACATCCAAAGATAAAACTTATTAATAGAACAACAGCACCCTTATTCTCCACATGGGCCTGGTGGTTCCGACTTATTTCGATCTCTGATCTGCAAATTATGCGCATAAAATCAGTTTTCAGAAAGGAGAGTTAACAATTATAATGTTAAATATGCAGGTATAACATTTCTTAATTCTACGGGAAGTTCATGATTAAGTATGACTAAAGCTGTAACAAATCGGAAAATAAGAAGAAATATATGGGCCTTAAATATTTTCTTTTTAAGTTAAACGCTACTTAAGGAACAGTTAAATATTAAAAAACAAATCTGCAAGCATAGAAGAAGTATTGTTATTTATTAAGCAAAACTTTGGAGATACAAGTGAGAACATAACTTCTTGGGGGTAAATTTGTGAGGTTAAGAAGATTGGAGGTAAATTTTATCCAGTTAAATGAAAATTATCTCAGGAGAATTCTGTGAAAATATAATATCTAAAAACTTTAGAAAAATATCAAGTATTGAGGAATAAAAAGTAATTAGTAGCCAAATTGAGTGTGACAAAATAAAATGATTAAGATGAGTAGGTAGTAAAATTACAAAGGATTAGCTTAAGATTAGTTATATTGGAAAAACAGTAAGATTAATATTTACAAAAGATATTAGGTGGCTTAGGAACATGTAACAAAAGGATAGAAGATGTACCATTAAGATGTGAAAGAGTTCAATTGGAAGAATTAAAAGAAAAAAAAAAAGGCTAGAAGAACATTACTAGACGTTGTGCGAACAATGAAAAAGCAAAATTGAGTTAAAATCTCAGGTAATACTCAATAAAAATGAATGAAGAATTAAATAAAATATATAAAGCCAAACCAACTTGCAATAAGGTTAATGATGATATGCAGCCATTTATGAAGAAAATCAAAGAATCCAACCAAGAAACTGGTGAGTTGCCAACAGGAAAGTAGTCGTGCTTACCAACTAAGAAATTATAACTAAAACAAGTTCTACCTACCATTAAATCCATCAGACTACATAAAAATTTGATCTACACAAAGAAAATGAATTAAATGAAGTTGAATACTAAGCTAAGCCAACCAAAATTTGTAGTATCTTATTCTATAACGAATAGTATGCCTGACTACAACTTTATATTCAATAACGAATATTATTCTATAATTTTCCTCCAACTGACTGTTTAGTTAGTGCAATTTTACATCCACGAAAGCTAATGAAAAGGCCAAGCGTAAGTCTGACCTGAGAACATCGTTCTCTTTGACTAACTTCTCAAACTGCAATGAAACTGCAAACTTCCATGAGAGGAGATCTTCAATCTTACTAGCCTGCCATACCAACAAAATTAAATAAGTGACTAATCATTAAAGATAGCATGAACAAAACTTAGTCGCATTGGATTTACATACAAAAATATCAATGTTTTTCTGAAGATTATCAAGTTCTAATCTGTTTTTCTCCAAAAGAGAATTCTTTGCGGCTATATCTTCATCCAATTCTTTAAAGATGTGTCCATATCTGCTATTTAGTTCCTCTATATACCGTTCTAAGATAGAGAAGTTCACATCAAATGATTGAACTTTCTGCATAAGTATTTTAAGAACGGTATCTCCCGGCATCCTTCCAACTTGTGATGGTCTGTTCTCAACTGAATCTAGTACATTAGTTTTTGATACCTCTGGCTTTGCCCTGGGGCTTTCACTCTTTGATTCATATTCAATCTCTGTAAGAGGTTCACTGTGCATATCATCCCCATCACTTGATTCTTGAATTGAAATCTTTTCAACATTTGGTTCTTCAGGTTCCAGTTTTTTGTTCTCAACAGGTATCCAATCTTCCAGCATTCTCTCAACTGCATCCACACCATAAACTTGTACAACACTCAACGTGCAATAGAATTCTGATCCGTAATGACTTAGCAGGTTAAATTTCAGGTATCTTGCCCACTTGGGCTCAGGAAGAACGAATCTCTGAGTATGCTTGACATTTTGAGCAGTGAAATTGCCAAGTTTGACCCAATTATCTGTTGGATAAACCAAACTGCTGGACAGTTCAAAATCTTTCAAGTTGGAAGAGTAATGCTCAAAGTTTGCAATCTCCAAACTGTCCACTAAAGTTTCCTCTGATAGCTCTATTACAACATATTTCTCCTCTGCTGAGCATGGATTACGAAGATACCTATCTGCATCTTTATCTAATATATTTGAAGCACCTTTAGCCTCCTTATTGAAGGCCAGAACCTTTGCACCCTTCGTAGCAGCTGCATAATTGTACTCTTTTCCACTGGGTTCAACTCGATGGAAAATAGTGTTTGGCTGGCTTGAGATGGAGCTTTCTTTGGCAATGAATGCTTTGTTTTTAAACTCATCTAACCCTGGAGGAGCAACCCGAGCAATTCTGCCATTCTTTTGTGAAGGACTTACCCAATCAGTCTTACCATTCAGATTGGAGATTTCTTTAATTGCAGGTTCTTTTCTAGGAGATGATGGATCGCTTGATGCAATTTTACCTCCAACATAAACTTCTTGGGTCTTCTTGACAGTTTGAGATCCAGAAAAAGGGATTTCCTGGATATCGTTATTAGAAGTTACTTCTAGTACTTCCAAAGAACCATCGGACTTGGAATCTGAACTAGATTCTGAAGCAACTACATGCCCATCAGACTCATCAACCACCTTGCCGAGGACATCTGGACATGTTTTAAGAAAAACTTTGTCAGTATTATAACTAAGGGGTTCACACAATGCAAGTTCTGCGCTCCGCACAACCCCCACTACATAAAAAAGGTAATCCAAAGTAACATTATTCATGATTTCATGTCAGCATGGCATCATTCGAACATTAGAAAATACCCTTCCTTATGAAGTAACTTTGTAGAGAATTGCTTTCAGTGAGCTGTTTGGTTCAATGTCTAAATAACATAGTGCATGCTTAGTTTGCTGTTATTTAACAAAATATAGTAATTGATATATCATTTGGTACACAAAATGAGGCAATCTAAATAACTACCAAAATGGCCATCATCTAATCCCATGTTCGTTAGGATACTGTAGCTTCTCCTCTTCTTGGGTTTCTATTCTACAATACTTCTTTTTGTTGGAAGACAAAATGTGCGTTGAACTACTTTCTGGGATAGTAATGCAATAATGCAATTTACTTGTCTTTTATTTCTAAACTTATCAAACTAGTCAGGCTGGTAAGTGCTTAAAAGTTGTTGTTAAGATCTTGGATTTGATTTCCGCATGCACCATAATAAACTCGGTCTAACAGACTTCAAATAAAAATAATTCATTAATCTTTACTGGTCCCGATCAACCCTTCATACCATCCTAAAAATTAACCCTAACTAACTTACAACCTCACCAAGGCTTTCACCATACCACCACAACCAAAAGTGTCTTTTCCCGTTAAGATCTTCCCACCAACACTTCTGTATACAGTTTTCATGTTTGCTCTTTAGCTGGTCACATCATTTGCATCACCTTATATTGGTCCACAATAGATCAAAATATCATATTGTCAACATCTCCACATGCAACTTTGTTGCCCTCATCGACAATTGCAACTTTGTTTCCCTAGCCAAGCATTTTGCTTGCATAGCTTCACGTAAGTTTAGTGATAGCTCCTTAACTGCTCCCATCAGGTGCATTGCTTCGTGCATCTTCAAAATCCACTCATCAGTTGATCACATCACTTGCATCTCCACATGCAACTCCAATGCCGACTCCATGACTAGTATATTGCAAGCATTATAACATACATGTGAATAGCGCAAAATTGTTATAGTTAATATTTAAAATTGCGTATTCGGGTATTGAGGCGTTTTTCATTCGTGAGGCGAAGCGTAAGCCTCAAGGCGTTTTGAGGCGTAAGCCTCAAAATCAAAAGATTGCGTGAACATAAAATGATAAATTTGTTATATTCTAATGAGTGAATAATATAAAACATAAAAAAACATAAGATATGAAGTGAAATAAAAGTATCTAAATAATAAGACAACGTGAAATATTGTTCAACTCAAAATTCTATCTTTCTGAAATCCCAGTATTCTTTTCATTAACATATAATTCCGATTTCCAAAAATAAATAGCAATAACATATCACATAAGAACTCATAAGTCATCAGCACTGTCATCAATAAGGGGTTCTTCATTTGAATCATTATTATGGTGAACTACTCTCTCCCCTTCCTCCTCTCCTATAGAGTCCAATGTCGGACATTTACTTCAAGATTTATGTAAGTTTTAATATATATAGCGTGAGGCGTAAGCCTCATGCCAGTGAGGCGAGGCTGGCCTCAATGCGGGCCTCAACCAAGTTGAGGCGCAAGCCTCATAAAAAAACTCGAGGCGTAAGCATTGAGGCGTTTTTTACTGGAATTGCGCAAAGGCGGGCCTCATATTGCGCAATTTTAAACCATGGTTATAGTCATGATTTAAAATTACACAATTAGATGCATGTCTAAGAGCACTTCTTTTAAAAAAGGCAATGAGCACATGCCTCATGATTGCCAGTAAGTGTATGATTCAATATGGGTGAGACACGCCTCACCATAATTTTGAAGAAGTGTAAGCCTAAAAGATTAGGGTTTAAACAATTTTTAAAAAATTTAATATAAAAACTTTAGATATATAATTAATCATATTTATGTTACCTAAATCAAATCGAACATGAAAAAAATCATATGGTCTCAAACTCATAGTCACACACCGTAGGACCCTCACACCAACCCCTACATTTTATGTATTGAAATTGGAATCATAAATACAATCATTGTTTAAAAATTTAATTAAAGATCTTAGTGATGTTTAGTGATTAAGAAAGAGGAACATGACTGAGATTGAAGAAAGATTGGGAGGATATTGATGTAACAAAGGATAAAGAAGGAAAGGGAAAAAAATTTAACTACAATGATTATTCTAATCAAGACTCTAAGAGATGAGTGTGGAGGATACTTTTGAATTCATATATTATGAAATTAGATTACTTATTTATGTTGAACCAAGAGTAGGAAAGACTTTTTATTTAGTGCCTCCATGTAGCTGCCATAATCAAAAATAAAAATTGAGGGTAACAAAATAAAATATATTTTTTAACTATTTTTTCATCAATCAAGAAAGTGGATAAAATAAAAAATAGGTTAATATAAAAGATTGAATCATAATAAAAAAGCATATAATTTCAATCCTCATTATTTACAATTAATTATTAGGCAGTAAAAGAGATGAATTATAATCAGAGAGATGCATGAGAAAAAAAACTACTACAGTTAAATGAATTGAAAGAGTTTATGTTGAATTAAGAGTTGTATTACTTTTAATGGTTCCTATTTGATTTTTTTATGAACTTACTATAGCATCTTACTTTGATATTAATATATTATTATTTTATATATTTAATTAATTTAATGATTTAAATCCGAGGCTTACACTTCAAAATACCTTTAGGCTTACACTTTAGCTCGCAAAACGAAAACACCTCAATATTAGATTGCATAATTTCAAACTTTAGTTAAAGCTCATAGCACAATGAGACACACCTATTGTGCTTTCACAAAGTTACAGAGGGACAAAATAATGTGAGCTATTTGTGTGATATGCTATTTTGTTGGTTCAATTACTTGACCATTTTTTATTATTTTGACTAGAGTAACATTACAAGAGGTAATGTTGTGTATAAAAGAATCTACAACATTCAAGATTGATCTATAGGAAAATAAACGTAACCTTCATTTAGGCCAAATATACCTCTAGATGACCTGAAAATCATGCTTTTAATGAAACAGATTATAAGTTAAGAGTAAACAAAGTGTTTATTATATTTAAGCCTAAGGTCTAATATTTAGCATTTTAACCTAATATTATACATTGCCATATTATGGTGGTATAATTCATTAATCTAATAATTTTCTTAATCATAATGGTCAATTTCCTAATATAATGGTCTTCCATTAAAATTCATATTTGATAAAGTAATCTTATGCTCTATTGATATTAATCGCGTTTTTTCCCCCCTAACATTCAAGTGGGTCATTTGTCTCGAGTTTACACTCTCCATCAAAATGTCGAGATCATCCAGCACGTTTTGAGAACCTCGATTATTCCAAAAGCTGATGATCGCATAAACATGACTCCACTTTTGTCCACAGTCACTTATTTGATAATGACTGAAAAGCCTTTTGATGAAGCCCAACTTATTATGGATTATATCTACAATCTTTTTTAAATTGGACTTCCACATCATAAGAGAAAGAAAAATGTGGCTTTAGGACATCTAGTTGCCTACATCCTAGAAAAGAAGTATAATATTATCAATCTTGATCCTCCTATTGAACTACCTATTTACTTTACTGATACCTCCTTTCGGATTGGGTGGGATCAGAGTTTTGAGATTGATGATTCAGAGGAAAAAGGGGAAGCTCCTATTCTAGCACCTGCATCTAACCAGAATTTCTACCAGGAAATGGACCAGCGCTTCGATAGATTGGAAACTCATTGTGATCAACGCTTTGATCATTGAGAATCACTTAAATCAGCAGGATGCAAGATATTATGAAGATATGGGTTGGATCCGTGGTCAATTTGACACGGTCAACACGAATGCAGCTATGATGAATAGTTACTTTTCAATGTTCAATCCACCACCTCCTCCAGATGAAGGCCCCTCTGATTTCTAGATGTACTTCTATGTTGTTGTTGCTTATGACTATCTGTGTTTGTTTTTTAGATGTATTTCTTTTGATTTCAGTATTTTCATATGTTAGTGTTTTCTTGTGTTAATATTATTTTTGTATGTGTTTGAAAAATCAATGAAATGTGATATGCTTTGTTATCATGTATTAATTTTTAATTCTTGAAATGTTTGTGTATTTAATGAAAAATCTTTTGTAGTTGATAAGTGAAATGGATTATCAATTACTTTGCTCTACAAATTAATTTCCTTACCAAATTTAATCTTTCAAAAATTTAAATTAAATTATGACTGGTGTAGACAAGGAGATCAATTTCATGTTCTTATAAACAAAAATATCTAAACTATAATTGTTGCAAGATTGATGTCTTATTATTTTTATTTTCTTTTTCAATATATTTATTTTTGTTATTAGTGGATTTGAATTTAGATTACTGATATTGGAAAGATCCAAAAAATAAAAATAAAAAATGCATAAAGCGTGCAAACATAGAAAAAATGCGCAATGGTTCACAAAGTGGAAAGAGGCATAAAATTAACCCAAATAAAAAAGATGCACAAAGTGTGTCATTAATATTAGAAAAGATACGCAATGTCGTCAATTGAAAGCATTTATAGTGTTCTTTCCTTTATCATCCAATCTCTAATCTAAATTCATCTAATTAGCAATCATATTCAATATTGAATTTGAACTTAACTAATCTTCATTTTGTCATTTTTATAATAATTATTTTTATTTAATTTGTCTAACATAAACAATGAACTTGGTTGAATTTTCTTATCTTAGCTGTTTTTTTATTTAAAATTTTGAAAATTTTCTTTTACGTTTACGAAATTAATATTGTATTTACAATTGATTTAAAATCATTTTCTTTTTTCAACTCTTTTGATTTATCTCTAAAAATATTTCATTTCAAGATGTTCTTCCCTTTTTATTGTAGTCAAAAGAGAGAGACATAATATTATTTTTTGTATTATGAATGTGTATAATTATTTGGTGTACTATGAATGTGTGATGTTATGTGATGTGATATATGTATATTTTGAATGTTTGAATATTCTTCGTGTTTTTGTTCGAGTTGGTGTTCGTGTGTTTCTGTTCAAGTTATTGTTCGAGTAGTTTTTCATTTTAGTAGTTGTTTTGTTTTTAGTAGTTGTTGTTTGTGTGTGTTTTTTTTTTTTATCTTCATGGGAACCCCTTAATTTAAATTGGTCATTTATTTAAGGGGAACTAAGGAGAAAATTTGTATTAAATGTTAACTCAAACAATAATTATTTTGTCATCATCAAAAAGGGGGAGAATGTTGCAACTTAATTTTCACAACTATGTTTTTATATCATGTGTTTTTGATGATTTCAAAATCTTATTATGTTGATTACTGTTTCTCCTAATATATATTGAAAATTTTGCTTTTGTTGTTTGTGTGTATTAATGTTTCAGGAAAATCATATTTCAGACTATTAAAAACTTCAAGAAAGATTAGATTAAAGTTTATTGTATTTGAAGTTTGTACTTTTATATTTTTCTTGAGTATGAGAGAATGTAATTATAATTGGGTAACCGTGCAGTCGTGCACACACACAATGGGGGAGTGTAAAAATTTGTAATTTTTTAAAACTAATCGTGCTATACGATTTTGGATCGTACGAGATGATTTAATCTGATTGTTCCTCCAAAAAGCAGTTAATTGAACCACGCTTGAAAATTTCCTAAGTACTATTCGTACTGTACAAAGTTACATTCGTACAGACGATGTCCAGAGTACGAAATTTGTGTTTATCTTTCGTCCATACGAACAAGTGAATTTTTTGAACTGTTCGTATTGTACGAACTTGGGTTCGTACAGACGCTTCCTTAGTACGAAATGGATTTGACCATTTTTTTCCATACGAATAGGTGAATTTTTTGAACTATTCGTACTGTGCGAACTTTGGTTCATACAAACGACTTCCACAATACGAAATGGACTCGACCATTTTCATACCAAACGAAGCATAATTCAATTAACACAGATCGTACTGTACAATTTTGGATTCGTATAGACGACTTACAGTGCACAAAATCAGTTTGTACACAATCGTACCTGATGAATCTGTTCAATTTTGAACTGATCGTACTGTACGATGTCAATTCGTACACAGGTCAATCAGAGTATGAAATTGATTCGTACAGGATCATACGAACGAATTTTATATTGATCGTACGCATGATGTGCAGTCGTACTGTACGATCATGGACGGTCAAATTGAAATTTTCAGTTTTATGGACGATTTTTCATGTCTTTCATATATAAGGTCCTAAAAACTAACTGTGAACGTATGCTTCTTCATTTTTTTCTTGGAGAGCAAGTGTGAGAGTGCTTTGGGGAGAGTGTTTGAGAGTATGGAAAGATATCTTGCAAGTTGAATTTGTGAAGGGTTCACAAGGTTGCCCAAAGGTGAGGATCTCTTTGTAAGTTTTGTCAATTCTCTTCCTTCTTTGAAGTCGCTCGAGAGAAAATCTTTGGAGAATATTCAATTCTCTGCCAACACCGAGAATGTGTGAAAAGACAATGGTTCTCTATCGACTCCAAGAGGGTGTGAAAGGACGATGCTTTTCTTCCTGACACTAGGAGGGTGTGAAAGGATGACGATTCTCTGCCGACATCAGGATGGTGTGAAAGGACGATGGTTCTCTACCGCACCGAGGATTGGTAGAAGAGAGGTTAATTGTACAAGCTTATTCGTCTTGCTGTGTGAGCAAAAAGAGAGTCACTTTGGTAATAGTGCAATATCTGAAGAGAGAGTCTTCAGGGAGTGTACGTAGGTCTAGTTGGACCGAACCACTATAAATTTCTGTGTTCTTTTATTTTTATTTACCTCGTTTTTATTTTTGTGGTTGAAAATTTTAATTTGATAAAACTTTTATTGTGCTTAAAATTATAAGAACGGTTTTCTAATATACCAAAAAAAATTTTAAATTACCAATTCACCCCCTCTTGGTTAGCCTTGGGACAATTGCTTTATGTCTAACAACTTATATGGACTTTCAGTATTCTCTTCACTCTAAAATTTAGTTAGCAAGCAGACCTACTTAAAAGACAACTCTGGAAATTTCATGGTGTTAATGTTTAAGAAATTCAACATATGTGCTAAACTAGACAAACCATAAGCATGTAGAGGAACATTTGTTTACTTGTAAATAGACAACACATGTTAGAAAACGATTATACATTTGCTAGGTTCTATCATTTGGTTGAAAATAATTTGAAATTAAGATTAATTTTATATAACATAAATCCATTAGATGTGATCATTAACTTTGACATAGAAAGTGAAAATTAAAACATCACTTTCTAATGTTTTCCATAATCATGCATAGACCCCATGAGAAACTAAGTTCATAAATGAAGGAGGGTGCTCAAATAGAGGACAATTCATATCACAATCTGCCATGAATTAGTTCACAAAGAGTTCATCAAATGAGGTAAGGAAGACAACATAAAGAAAGGAATAATGATGGATTGCCTTTAAGCATAAAAAATGAGAGCAAGATTTTTTTTTTTCTTCTTGCATTTCTTCTGGTAATAGAATAAACATAGAGAATAGTATAAAATGTTTGCTCATAAGAGGGCTTCATGATCCATATTTAGGCACTAAGATTGGAACAACAGGCATGAAGATGAACTGTGAAAGAATATCCAATGAACAGCACTTCACTCTGTGAATTTAGATGCTTAGAATGGCACAACGCTGTTTGATGCAAGTGTTACATGTATTGAAACATTAAAACCAAACAACACAAATCAAGCTACTTTTGAGAGAAAATTTAAGCCTAAGCCCTCCTCATTGATCAAGGCGAACTTTGAAACATAGATCTGTTGTATAGCAAAGCATTTGCTTAACCCCCAAGCTATCAGGAAAAAGCAAGGTGACTTTGTTCAATAGGTTATACAGAATGGCAGTATTAGGAAGCATGATAAATTAAATATGCAGAAAAAGGTAAATTAACCCGAAGCATTAAATTTACCTATATAACTATCTCCGTGATTGATCAAGAAGCTGAGAACAAAGATAACACCCCATAAAAGGAATAACAGAGATGCCTTGATATACAGATGCCTGTTCCCCGAGATTCTAATAGCACCGGAAGCAACTCTTCTCTGCAGAAGAGCTTTACGTGATTTTTGCATTGATCATTAATCCAGCTCACAGCTGCAGCCCATGAGACAAACAATGAACTTTTTGCAGAAATTAATAAGTAGCATAATTTATAACTTCATTGCCAATAAACTTTATAGGAATTCAAGTACAGATCGGAATATCTTCCTCCACTGGATCTGAACACTCTGAGGAGCTGTTTGTGAGCGGCTTTTAAGCAGGATTTAGAGTGAATCCTTCCAAGAATTTTCGAGGACGAGCTCCGGCGTCGCTAAAGGATGCAAGATCGTTACCTTCACGCGAGATCCGGTAGTGACTTCCAATCCTACAGGAACAACGTCGTCGAAGGAGGCGAACACGCTTCCTCTAGCGACTCTTTCAAACTCTACTTCAAGCGAAGCAGGCGAAGCGGAAGAATTGGGGAAGAGAGAAGTAAACCCTAGACAGGTCTAGGGCAACATGAAGAGGAAGAGCATGGACAAGGATCAAAGAGGAGAAATTATAGAAATAGATAGGCAATGGCGGCACAGGAATACCGCCTACCCTTTCCCAACTCCGTTCTACTCTACTCTTTTGTATTTTTTAAGGGCTACAATAATAGTATCTAATCTAATCTAAGAAAATAATTATTGACCGGATAATAAGAGAATTAATATTAATTAATTATAAGTAATAATTTTTTGAGATATTAATTTTTTAGTTTTCTTCTATCGTATAGCTTATAATTGATATTTCAGCCTTTATTTAGAAGTTAAAGTTTAAATAATATTTTTTTATTATGTTAATATTTATTAATTAGTAATTAATAGAGATATTAATATATGATTTAATTTATCTAATTATTATTGATAAACTTTTTTAATTAAAATTAGTAATATTCAATCAAAATAAATTACTCTTATAATTTACTATTAATTATAAATATGATAAAAACAATATCAAACCTTATTCCCATTACATGAGGTCGGTAACATGATCTTATTTCTTCCAGCTTCAAGAATTAGGGTTTTTTTTAATTAATGCTAATCTAAAATTTTAATAAATTTATTCTGCATTGGATATTATTTTATGAACAAACAAAAGAGTGCTGCATCAATTAATTTATGATGATTGCTTCTGATTGCTTCCGTGTGTGATGATAACTTAATCAATGGTATTTCGTATGCTAAAAGATTATATTCACTGATTTAGATTTCTATTAGTGGCATCTTCTACAATTTTTTTTTTTACTCGAAACAATCTCCTCAAGCATTGTTATTGTGATTTCTAAAAGTTCTTTCAATTATTTTCTATAATAATAGATAGGGGTGTCAATTTGGCTCAACGGGTCGGGTTCGGGTCGAACCGGGAACTATTCGGGTCAACCCGAACCCGACCCGACACAAATGACCCGGGGATGATCCAAAATTACTAGTTTTCGGGTCAAAAATCGGGTCAATCTCGGTTTTTCGGGTCAAAAACGGTCAAAAACAGGTCAATCTCGGGTTTTCGGGTCAAAGATGAGTTTTCGTGTACTTTCAGGTCAATTTCGGATCAATTTCGGGTTGCTGGGTCAACCCGAACCCGACCCAATTTTTAAAACAGATTGATTTGTTGAACCCGAACCCGACCCGTTTCAGGTTCGGGTTGATCCGGGTAAAATCCGAGTCGGGTTCTGGTCGTGTCAAAAATTGACACCCCTAATAATAGAAGGAGAATTGATGTTTTATTTGAGATAACTTTTTGACGACTTGTGTGTTTAGAAAATCAATGAGCATTAAAGTTTCGTTTGTGATAGTATTCTTACTGTTTTTTAAAAAAATTTTGAAGTACAAAAATAAAAAAACAATATTATTAGTTATTTTTTTCCAAAATAATATTAGCTTTCTCATGCACAGTTGACAGTCAAAATATTAAAATCATATATCTTACTATTAAAAATATTTTTATTAATATTTTTAAATGCTCTCATCTAATCTTAGGACATTAATTTATTTTATTTTTCATATTCCTCTCAATTTCAAAATCCAAAATTAATAAGTAATGTCATATACACAAACTTTTACTCGAAATAACTTTACAATTTTTAGAATCTAATGATCTAGTTTTTCTTAAAAGAAAATAATCAATTTGAATTTTACTAAATATATTCTTATAAATGATAAAATACTCATCTTTTTCTGAAATAAAATATTAACAATTACAAAATCATAAGCTAGAACAAAATCTAATATAGTCCTACCACCTCAATTAGCCGCTTTGAATCCATAGCCACCACGAATATTTTTTAAATCTTTTACCACTCTACCAACATGTTCATTTAATGCTTCGTTTAGGACGGCTTTTTGCTGCTTCTTAAAGCGGCTTTCTAGTACAAATTTTTTAATTTTGTACTAGAAAGCCGCTTTAAGAAACAGTAAAAAAATCATCTCAAACGAAGCCTAAATCTTCTCCAATAAAAACCATTTTTTTCAATTTGTATCATTTGTATCAATTCTTTTAAGTCATTTTAAAATTTTAATTTTGAACATATATCCAAACATATTTGCACATCATAATCATTTATAATGTTAATAATCTTAACATCAACAACAATCTCTAAATTCACAATTTTATCTTCAATTTCATTAATTTATATAACATTAATTAGATGTAACATCTATCATACCAAACTGTTGTTAGGATTTAACTTTGATTTACTTAATCCAGATTTACAGGAATGGTTAAATCCTATTCGACTTAAATCCCCTTGCAGCCAAACAGCCTCTAAACAAAATGAAATCTGATATCTTCAACTATTGCAATTAAGCAAGGAAATACCTTCTCAATCTTTGTGCGCGCAAAAACCACAAAAAAATTGAAACCAAGAATGCTATATGGATTACAAACAGGGGACACAGAAAAAACGCTTGGCATCCTTTTTTCAATCTCAGAACCCTATTACCCTTCACAAAATCTAATTCAAGCAAAAAAAAAGGTAAAACCAATGCCCACCAAACCCTTGGAATCTACTGGCAAAACCAATAATCTTTCAAAATCGACTAATTATATAAAAGATTTTGTCACGATCGAGAAGCACAAATCATGAATCGAAACGGACAGAAAAAAACTCCCGAAGAAGAAAAAGAAAGATCGAAAAGTTTCGAAATAGATCTAAAGAAGGCCGATGGACTGCTCACCTGGCCCCAATCTGTGTCGCGAGAGCGCAAATCAGATGAAGCAACAGCTCGCGATCGATCAACTATGCCAGTGCTGTAGAGAAACTGCGCTTACTCAATATCAATTCCGGATCAAACTCCCGTAGATTTCTCAGAGTTATCACATTGTTAATGTACTTTATAGTCGGTATTCTTATCTTTTTATTTTTAACGCATGTATGCTTATTCATCTCTTCGACATGAAGCTTTTTCATTTCAGAGTCTTTATTTTTTAAGGACATTTATGTTAATTAAGTAAATTCATAATCACATCGAATCCTAAGTTTCTTAGTTGGTAGTAAAAATTCTCAAACAAAGATCAAGATGAGTTGTATCTTCATTTCAAACCTTGTTCAAGTTATATGAAGATGCATTTTTATTTTATTTTTCTTACAGCTGCATGAAAAATTATCTAGTATGTCATAAATAATTAATTTAAATTATTTTAAACTCAAAAAATGCTTTGGAAAGATATATATATATATATATATCATAACCTTGAATATGAAATTAATGATACTTAATATAGATTATTAAGGCTAAATACTTGATCAAATGTCATTTTAATCCTTCGAGGTCGTATATAGTTCTTCCTTGAATTTAGCTATCATAATTAGTACGAGACTTACAATTTTGTTATCTGAACACATTAGGAAATGATATTTTTACCTCCTTAGGTGATATATCATTCATAATGATGTGTTCCACTTCAAAACTTAATTTCTAGATATTAAAATTTTCACAAGGAAATTTAGATCCAATTTATTTGCATCCTTCTAAAGCAAAGCAAAGAATTTTTTTTTGAACTCAATAGTGTTGAGAGAATTCTTTAGAAGAGCTTTGTGAGAGCTTTATCTTCTTGAGAGATCATGGAGTTTTGTGATGAAGTGGGGGAGAAGGTGTGAGTGAGATAGAAGCAGTGTGAGGGGATTTCATGTTTTTCTCTAAGGAAGCTTCTACCTATGTTCCTCTATGTTTTCATTGATCTTGAGGTAAGCATCAAGGGGAAAAGTATTCAAGGTAAAAGATCATAGGTTCTTTATCTCACCAGTAGGGTGAATAGGATTCTAAGTTCTCTAACTCACTAGGAGGGGGAAAAGGATTCAGTTCCTCAACTACATCGCGGAAGGGTGTAAGTGATTTTGTAAGGGCTTCTCCATCTT